AGAAAAAAGAAGAAACAGGAATTTACACTAAACCACTCATAGACATCTTCCATGGGCTTGTGCGTTTTTGGGTTACTCAAAAGAGTTCTTGAAAATTGTCATTTGAGAACTAACAATTCACGGATTATCAAAAGCTTGCGAAAGAAGTATGGATAATGTTGACTTCAGCATATTTCATAAAAGCCTCCTGTAGTAGAATGTGAAGGCCAGTGAAAGTGGGAGATTAATACTCATATGTAAGCCGTTCGTAACTTTTGAATAGTTGGATCACGAAACCATCATTGAATCGTGCTACAATATGGATGCCAAATCCAAGATGTATCTTCCCACTTAAGAACTATTATAATATTTTAAAGAATACAACACCAATTACAAAACTTTGGGGAAAAGTAGTAACCACAGAACGATAGATTCAAGCAAAATATTAGAATCCAACTAGCTTCTGTGTTGAATTAAACCCGATACCGACCTAAAAACTGTTATTAATTTTCAATAACAGAAGTAGAAAATAAAATACGAAGGAGTAGCATAAATTTGGAATAGCAAAGCATTAAATTTTCAAGACGCGGAGTGAGTGAGTCTTCGTGCATTTAGATAAAATCATAAATGAACGCTAATGAGGCGTTTAGAAGTAAAAGAGATAGCTTGCATTATCCTTTCTATACGATGAAATATCCAACACTTATTTCTGTGGTGCGCTCTGAACTTGAAATAAAGTATGGATTGATACATACTCAAAACTCCAGGAAAAGAACTGGTTATGAACGTCATTAAAATATTTATTTATCAAGAATAAATGTCCTTTCGCTAATTTCCTATATTTTATTCGCATATATTTTTCAACAACTTCTGAGAATGACCTACATTTTGTTATAAAAAGACCATTGTTTTTACACAGAAACACTAAGAATAAATCCATTATCACGAGCTATATGTTTGTAATGATAACTTAGTTTATTTTGCAACAGTTCTTTTGAACTTATAGCTTTCTTCTCTTGAAAATACAATTGTTGTTCATCTCTTTTCCTTTGAAAAGATAATTTATTTCGCTAACTCTCTGTAGTTATATTTGGATACATCAGTAGTTTACCTGTCAAATGAGACTAGTATACACAGAAATGTTTCTGTATGAAAAGAAATGATTCAGTAAATTGTTTTCTCAGACATATCTTGTGCTTGTTCTTATCTCGTTCTCAAGCCTACGAACTGACATCAACAAAAGTAGCGAGAAATAATGAATATATTTTTAGCCGAAAGCCTCTAAATTATCAAAATAAATTCCTTAATAAGTAATTTTTTAAGAGTTTGTATTTGTTGCACCTAAGAGAAGCTTTCTCTTCTTAAATATAAGAGTTTCTTTTTTCGCTTTGTCAGAATTATTTTATTTATGTAATACATGATCAATAAAAGATGCAACCGTCAGTTTACAGTCGTCTAGATTTAGTACATTTTTAGAATATAGTATCCATAGACATGTCGATGAGGGCATTTTATTTCAACTTGAATTTTAGTGGCATTCAAATACATTTATAAGCTATGGAAAACAAATTATGTGTTCAAAAGAAGGCACCAATAAAACATTTGTTTATAAACATTACGATCTTCAAACGTTTAAAAACATAACATTATCATTATACTTCATATTTCGTTTTACCAAATGTACTTTCTGAACAACAAGTTTGATTACATTTCTAGTTCTTAAATTCACTGCTAGGTTGTTAGTTTGTTGTTAAATTCCAAGTTTTGAATTTTCTGTTTTTAAACTTACCAACATGCTCTCTCTCTTTCTCTAACAAAATTAGTTTGGTCTTGTCACTGTATTAAATCATGTGGAGGTATGTGACCTTTTAGACTGGAATCCAATAAAATTAACAGATAAACGTTTTTTTTTCTATTAGCAGATATCATTCAATAATAACAGTGCCTCAAATGTTCTTCACCTGTAAATTCTATACCAAATTTTACCATCTAAAAATAAGGGTAACCTAATACTTAAATCGGGAGTAACGGCAGGTCTCCGAAACGTGCTTATTCTTAGAAAAAACAAAAGGGCATCCTCAATAGCTGCGGCACTTGAAATTCTTTTAGGTAATATTAGAATAAATTAATCTTAGGTGTGGTCAGATATGTCTATCGAAAGGGTTTGTCCTCCTGAGAACAAAACTGTAATTAGATCTCAGATCTGTCAAGAGATGACGGAGCTACAAGCTAAAAGTTTGTACTTGAAAAGAACAAAAAGCACACGAAAACTTAGAGCAATTCTATGAGCCGCTAGGCCGCAGCTAAAAAGTTAATGTTAGAGATAGTTTTAAAACCGAATTAAAGACCAATAATGAACGCTGAATTTGCTATACGTTAAGAACACTCTCTGTACATGGTTTTATTCAGAATATTAATTCTATATTATTAACGTATTTGAAGAAGAATATGTAGCATTATTGAATTATTTTACAGAAAAGTAGTTTGAGATAGTGTATGTTTTCTTCTCATCATCAAAATCATACATTTTGGCGAGAATAAATATGAAACCTTTCATTTGTCACTGAGTTAGACTGGTGTTAGGAACTCCATCTCCTATGAGAATCTTTAGACAAAAACAAATGAAAATAGATTAGGTCCCTGAAAGTGGAAGTCGGAAATTCTGTATATGGTGTGGGAATTATCGTTTGCTCAACATTGTAAACCTAATATTTATATATGTAATTCAAGAATATATAGCATTAGTGCTACTATTTTATTCTTCTGAATTATTTATTAATAAATTATTTATTTCTGATTAAGATTTTTATTTACTATTTGTGATAATTCGAGCATGTAATATCAGGTAGTACAAACTTTTTTAGGTTTAGTGTTGCTCAGAGACAGTGCATTACGTAGTACTTTGAATGGACGGTAGATGGAAATTCATAATGTTGCCTGCTACCTAAGTCAATGGACTTTGAATCCTGCAACCGTGATGACTTCATCACTAAGTCTGTCAAGAGATGACGGAGCTACGAGCTAAAAGTTAAGAGGTGTAATCAACATCATCCTACTTTAACAAAACAACTGATAACATCCATTGTGCAATGTTTACCGCATAGTCAGAACTGAATATTCTGCATCTTCAAGTACGATATATGTATTCATCTACAAACGTTGTAAGCCAGTCTAATACGGGCGAAAGACGAAATTTAGCAGCTCCGTCATGTATTACCATACTACACTAAATAACTAGAAACAGCAGATAGTAATATTACTACTACAACTAATTCTTAGATCACATGAACAGGAGATTATTCTCTACAATATTCAATAAAGCCTTCTTCACCGTGTCCTGATAAGATAAAATAATGCTGAAATGGCACAAAAGAAAGATGGATCTGGTCCTTCACAAGGGACTAGGGAAGATAAAACTTAGATAATTTGTTTCTTTTACAGTTTTGGCGCAAAAACTACACAAAGAGTTATCTGTGTACAGTCGCTCATAATTTTGAACTGATAAACTAGAAGAAAGGATTCCAATCACAAACATCAACTGTCAAATCTGGTGATATTTTTGTGTGTGGGATTTAACCGTCACTCTTCCATATCACCCACGGTCAGAAAGTGCAAAAGCTTGTTTTGGAACAACGGAATCGCGAACAATGAATCTTTACAATTCGCCACACAAACCACTCGACCCATCTTAAAGCTGAGAGGAGTTTAATCTTATTGAAAAACAGACACTATTTCCAGAAGTTTAAAAAAACAATAAGAATACCTGTATTGGAAATATGTATATAACCCGTAAATATTCAAAGCTAACAAATGTGAAATAGTAACACAAGATTCTAAATGCTTTGATGCAATAAGTTCTTCAAAAAAAAAGAGGGTGAAGAAACCCATGATGATTGTTCAAATGCTAAGAACCGGAGAAAATTCAAAGTAAACAAGGACAATAAGTTACTTAAAAAGCACGGAAATATTAAAACAGTATAGACATTTAACATTCTATTTGCTTTAGAATGTAGCATGTCATAGAGATAAAACTTCGATATGCCTTACCGAACCAATAAGTAAAAAGTTAAATCAGTAGCCTTGGAAACCCTTCCGATATAGTTGTTTGGATGTTTTTAGATTCTAATTGAATACCTAGGTTTTAAAGAGATTGTTTATAGGAAACAAATACCAATAAGCTATAACATTCTGCTGTTTATTTATATTTTGTAATCCTAAACAAATACAATTTCTGTCTTTAGACATACTTTTCAGGCCAATTCTCCGTGTTTTAAGGATTACGTTATAAGTGTTTCATACATACACTATATCTCAGAAAATTTCATATTCCATTCCATTTCGAGGTTTAAATATTAACACTGAAAGCTAATGCCTTTCGAATAAGTTCAAAATATGACTACAACGTATCTATTTAGCGCTGCGTTTTAAAACAAAAAGTTAATCGTAATTCACCTAAAAAAAAAGAAGAATAAAATGTGGTGAATACATAAAAAAATGTCTCTATTATCTTTACATTTACAGGTTATGTCCTAGAGCAAAATGTCTCTATTATCTTTACATTTACAGGTTATGTTCTAGAGCAAAATGTCTCTATTATCTTTACATTTACAGGTTATGTCCTAGAGCAGACCATTTTTGATTGATTTATTTTAATCTACAGCATATTCATGCGTATTGAGAGATACCTTACCTTCTTATCGGGTAACATGGGCTTAGCGAAAAGCAATAATTTCATTAAAGAGGAGAAACAGGGTGCTCACCGGTTTAGTAGTTATTGAATTCAGGTGCTCAATTCAATTTTCTGCACTCTTTGACTAGCAACAATAAAAAAGCTATTCATCACATATTTTATATGAAATATATTTGTATTAACAGAAAGTGTAAAATCAAATGCCGTTGTATTAGATGCGTGTTAACAACGAATATTAAGGGTATTAAAATAATGTAAAACGTAAAGAAATATTGCAAGGTAAGATTTTCATGGGATAATATTATTTCATACACAAATGTCTGTCACTAACCTAGCAATGGACACTAGTTCCTCCTGGTGGTAATCGTGGGGAGGTCGCCAAAGAACCAGTTTATCGAGTACTGCCATGCCTGAGGTACTTGGACGGTTTTCTGTTATAGAAAACATAAACTGACGTAAAATTACTGCGAACATCATGTTTTTACCCAACAAATGTATAAAATAATTGATCTTATCACATATACAAACTGCAAACCTGCAAATATATATATATGAATATACGCATATATGATCGAAGTGTGATCATTTATTTATAAGTGTAATTTTCAAATGCGATGAAATGAGTACACGTTTCATTAAAACATAGTTATATGCTCTGGCAATGATTTATTTTTTAGATACGAATATATTATCTCACCGTCATATTGTTTTAAGACACAAAGCTTTACTTTAATCATTAAATTGACGTATTAAAAACACTCCAGATTTTAATGTTGCAAATATAACCTTTATTAGATTAAATTTCAGAAAAATAGTAAGATTATTTGAGAAAAGGAAAGAAAGATGTAATATGTAATATAACTCTAATATTTATTTACTTATCTATTATCTAGTTCTGTAATATCATACATCATGGGGGATATTTTTAAGCCTACATAAATGTCCATTATTTTCATTTTATCTCTTCACTTGTGGCACATATTTATCCCATAAAAATTTCAAAAACTAAATAATATAAATTGTAAAAAAGAAGAAAACCATCGTCGTCATGGAAACATTTGCTTTACAGTGTTCCATACCTTTAAAAAAATAGTACTATCTAGTGAATATCAACAAACATTGTCTATCTAAGGGCGTTACTCTACAAAGATATTTAGAACACGCTTCTGTCAGTAAGTTTAATTGATCTTTACGCCTTTTGCCACTTTTGACAACTTTAAAACCAAACTCGGGCACTGAACTCAAAATGTCAGTTAAACTTCTATAGCGTCAACATTATGAAGCCTAAAACATTATAAGAATGGGTGTCTTTATAAGCACTTAAGACATTCTCTGCTCTGTTTGAAAACGTTGAAAGCTTTTTGTTTTTCACTTTTTGGAATTTCATAAAAAATATAATACATTTCTTGAAGAAAACTAAGCCTTCACTTTTATGTTAAAGACATGTTCTTTCACCGTACGATGACGAAAAACAAAACGCATATTAATATTTTATCTAATGATAACAAAAAACTAAAAACATAAATTACTAAGTAACGTAGAACCATCATGTTGTTACAGTTGATTTGAAATACGAAAAAGAACCACTGGAAAGCATATTAAATTGAAATCCTGAATTATCTGGTATTATTCAGCGCTTATGCCAAGAAAAATACTACACAAAAACGTTTTATTAAAATAATTGCATGGCTTTTATATTTCATTACACCACTAAAAGAATTAGCTGTCAAAGAATTAATGTGGTCGATGGTGGACTTCAACCCAATCCTCATCAATTATGAGGCCGAGAAATAAGTGTTACGTATCTGCCTGTTTGATAATTTCCGAGAAACTTCAGCGATACAAGTCCTTTCTTGATTAAAACTAGTTTATTCTTTCTC